ATGGTGTCTAAACTAGCAGTGGGACTGAGAAATATATCGTAGATATACCTTTTCCGGCTCCTATCGATATGCTAGGTATCGCAACATCATCCATCGATTGCAGCTTGAGCTCCTTTGCCAACTTGACTGGAAGTATCGATTCGTCAGTATTTATACGGTATATTTTTTAAATGAGACGGTATGTTTCGGTATATTTCTGAGGGTCGTCGGTATATTTTATCGACAAGAAGCGTCACAACAAAATACAAACACAAACGGCGACCTATTTGAAAAAAATAAACAAACTAGTATGGCCATGGCCGATTTAAAAGCAAGCGAGGGGGATCTCTCCGACTACTATATGCGCCTCAAGAAAATCTTCAGCAACGAAACACGGTTGCAAAGCCGCGAGGCGTCCATCAGCAAACGGAGCTCCAGAGTCCACAAAAATATTAGTGAGTCCCGGCAAGCGTTCATCCTATTTCAGGCATCAATTGGTGTACATTCAACGTGTTTTACAGTTAGTGCCAAGGAGGCCATCGAACGGCAGGAGCGCGACTTTGGCAAGCTGCAAAAAGTGTTGCTGAACCGCAACCAGGAACTGGAACGGAGATTCACCTTGGGCGAGGCATTGGCGCAGCAGCTCGAGGTGACCCGGCAGCGCAACGCGGACATGGAAGCGCAGCTGTTGCGGCACACGACGGAGGGCAGGCAGCGCAGCAACGAGCTGATGGAATGGTTTGTTTCCGGCCTCCAATATTCGATCCAGAAAATGCTCAATTGCGTTTCCTTTATTTTTTTTATTTTGTTAGCATGCACAGTCTCAAGCAGGCAACGGGGACGTACATCAACCATGAGGCGTTGCCGGCGCGTCTCAATGGTGTCAGCGTAGTGCGGGCCGACGACGGCGACATCAAGTTGATACCCTTCTCTTTGGACGGCAACGACGCCGACGGCCTGCACACGCTGTGGCGGTCTCTCCACACCCGCACTGACAATAATGCCAGCAAGTGGCGGAAGCTCATTTCGGACCAGGAGGTGGCTGGGGCCAGTCCAGTTACCCCAAGCGGGAGCGAGAGACCGAAGGCGACGTCGAAGCACAGCAACTTTATGCCGACATCTATAATTGAGATTGATCTCACCTCGCCGACAAATGACGCCTCATGATTTGACTGCCACTCCAGTGCCATTTTTCCGATTAATATTAAATTTGTATAAAGAATAATTAATAAATAATATTTAACTCGTCTTAAGTTAAACACAAATGAGAAATTCCAAAGTCCTCCACTGACCCACAGATCGATCGACATACATCCAATATGTACACTCGAGGCGATCTATGTACATATGTATATAGAAATAAGCATTGTTTAATTGCTCCGGCTTGTGCGCGGCTGCCGCTGCGACTACGGCTGTGTGTGTTCGTGTGCGGATTATCAGGCGAGTGGCACCTACAAAAACGCAACGGCAGAGATTTGACAAGTTCAGTCGGTGTCCAAGCCAGTAGCAGAATGCTCACCGAACTACTCCTGACGATCTGCACGGCGATCTTCCTATATCTCTCGTACAGATATGCCGTTGGTCGGCCAGTCGGCTTTCCGCCGGGTTAGTCTGGATCCAAGGACACCTCCATTGGAGCAGGAGCTAATTCTAAGATTCTCGCTTCTCCGTTCTGCGCCCGCAGGTCCGCCGCGAATCCCCTTCTTTGGCAGCTACCTCTTCCTGCTGCTGATCAACTACAAGTACCTGCACAAGGCCGCCCTCACCCTGACCAGGTGGTACAAGTCGGACATCATTGGCCTCCACGTTGGCAAGTTTCCCGTGGCCGTGGTCCACAGTGGCGAGGGCGTGCGCGAGGTCCTCAACAACCAAGTCTTCGACGGCCGTCCCGGTATCTTCCTCGCGGCCATGCGCGACCCCGGCGACGATGTTCGCGGTAAGATTGAAATCAATCCTGTTTCTCCCGTCCCTTTGTGCCCGAATGGGACGCTGATAAAGCCACTTGAAAATATTGGGGTCGATTGATTCTTAATTGCCTTAGGAAACATTCTTATCATCTCTAATTAAATGGTTTATTGTGCTGCGAGTTGAAAGTATAAATAACTTACTATTATTTTCATCCGTGATGCTGTCAATAGAGTGGCCGTGCGCAAGTCCCACTATGGCTGCGTTAGGCTAGGTAATAATATGATAAGATGTCCTCATGTAGGGATAATATGTACATACATGCATATACTCATGATTAGCACCAACGGGAATCGGATTGAATTTAATTGATTTCTGCTCGGACAGGAATCTTCTTCCAGGAGGGTGCGCTCTGGAAGGAGCAGCGACGCTTCATTCTGCGGTACCTGCGAGACTTTGGCTTCGGCCGGCGCTTTGACGAACTGGAGCTTGTCATCAAGGAGCAGATCACGGACATGCTGGACATGATCCGAAACGGACCGAAATACCCGCACGAGCACCATCTGGTGAAGCCGGGCGGCTACAGGGTGCAGCTGCCGCTGCTCTTCAATCCCTTTTCGGTGAACTGTCACTTCCACGTCGTGTACAACGAGCGCCAGTCGCGTGAGGACATGGCCGGACTGGTGCGCCTGGTCCAGATGGGAATGCAGTTCCAGCGCCACGCCGACGACTACGGCAGGCTGCTGAGCATCATGCCATGGATCCGGCACGTCTGGCCCGAGTGGAGTGGCTACAAGAAGCTCAACGAGTCCAACCAGTTCATGCGCCAGTACTTCGCGGAAATCGTGGACCGCCACATCGAGACCTACGAGGTGGGCAGCGAGCGTAACTTCATTGATCTGTACATCAGCGAGATGAAGAGCTGCCCCGGACACGGCTTCAACCGGGACCAGTTCATCATGGGCCTTCTCGACTTCTCCATCCCAGCCTTCACCGCTGTCGGCGTACAGCTTTCCCTGCTCATCCAGTACCTGATGCTGTACCCCTCGATCATGGAGCGTATCCAGCAGGAGATCGAAGAGGTCGTGGGCTGCGGCCGCCTGCCCACGCTTGAGGATCGGAAGAAAATGCACTACACTGAGGCCACAATCCGCGAGAGCATGCGCATCGAGACACTGGTGCCCTCCGATGTGCCACACAAGGCCCTGGCCGATACTGAGCTCCTGGGCTATCACATACCCAAGGTAAGTGGCGCAGATCCCTTAACGATAATGTATTGACCATTGCTCTCCCTCAATTTACGAAGGATACCATTGTGGTGCCCAGTCTCTATGCCTATCACTCGGATGCGCGAGTCTGGTCGGATCCGGAGCAGTTCCGTCCCGAGCGCTTCCTGGACGACCAGGGCGAGCTCTGCCTCAAGCTGGACGTGTCCTTCCCGTTTGGGGCGGGAAAGAGGCTCTGCGCGGGCGAGACCTTCGCACGGAACATGCTCTTCCTCATGACGGCGGCCATGTGCCAGAACTTCAACTATGTCCTGGCGCCGGGCGACCAACTGCCCGATCTGTCCAAGAACCAGAATGGACTAATAATCACTCCGCCCGATTTCTGGGTGCAGCTGGAGAACCGAAGATGTGGGTGATAGAGAATAGCTTTAAGACAACCCAGACTAATTATTTTATAACGAACAATCCGTGTACAAGTGGTTTGATTTGTGGTGTGATTTGTGGTTTGATTTGTGGTTTGATTTGTGGTTTGATTTGTGGTAAATATATGTAGGTGAAGAGCACTTTTTAGTTGGCATCGCTCTCAGTGTCCGAGTTGGTGTACATAGCCAAAATCATAAGGTCCTGGAAGGAGTCCTCTTCCGAGTCGGAGGAGGGCTGGGTGGTGGCCGGACTGGTGGCCAGCGAAATGACCGGACTGGCGGCCTGCGAAATGGTCGGATTTGAGGGCTCGGACATGCCCATGAAAGAGTGCGGTGTCTGCCATGCCCCGATCTCGTCCTCGAAATTCCCGATGCTGATGCTATCGTTTTCATCCCCGCTCTGCCCTTGGTTCTCCACAACGTCCTCGGGGGATTCTTGGTCCTTGAAATCAAGTTCTGTGAGCTTGCGCAGCCTGTCCACTTCGCAAAGGATCACCTCCTGCTTGCTCACGATGCTTTTCACGAATGCCTGCAGACTCGAAATGGTCGCCTCGTATTGTAGCAGCTTAGTGCGCAGCATACTATTCTCGGCACAGCAAGTGCACCGATTTAGCTCATCGAACATGGCGACCTTCCTGTCGTCCGACTCCGTGCATTTGTTTCTAGGGCAGAGGAGAGTCAGTGAATCTGCAGCGCTTAGATGGCAGTGGAAGCGGAGCACTTACATGGTATTTATATCGGAATGCGTCACATGGGACAGGCAAGAGTTCGACATCTTGAGACTATAAATTTACACCAGTTGTCTCTGTTGATGATTGCTTAGAAGTGCCTAGAAATAGCCCCCAAGTCGGTTTGACAGCTTATAACCGGTGTGCTAGGGTCGAGATATAAGCACTAGATCGAAGGAGGATGGGACTCGCACTCGTCCGTGCTCTCAGCAAACCATGAGGGTCGGAAGAAAATGCACTACACTGAGGCCACAATCCGCGAGAGCATGCGCATCGAGACACTGGTGCCCTCCGATGTGCCGCACAAGGCCCTGGCCGATACTGAGCTCCTGGGCTATCACATACCCAAGGTAAGTGGCGCAGATACCTTAACGATAATGCATTGACCATTGCTCTCCCTCTCTCTACGAAGGATACCATTGTTGTGCCCAGTCTCTATGCCTATCACTCGGATGCGCGAGTCTGGTCGGATGCGGAGCAGTTCCGTCCCGAGCGCTTCCTGGACGACCAGGGCGAGCTCTGCCTCAAGCTGGACGTGTCCTTCCCGTTTGGGGCGGGAAAGCGGCTCTGCGCGGGCGAGACCTTCGCACGGAACATGCTCTTCCTCATGACGGCGCCCATGTGCCAGAACTTCAACTATGTCCTGGCGCCCGATCTGTCCGAGAACCAGAATGGGCTAATAATCACTCCGCCCGATTTCTGGGTGCAGCTGGAGAACCGAAGATGTGGGTGATAGAGAATAGCTTTAAGACAACCAAGACTAAGTATTTTATAACGAACAATCCGTGTACATGTGGTTTGATTTGTGGTTTGATTTGTGGTAAATATATGTAGGTGAAGAGCACTCTTTAGTTGGCATCGCTCTCAGTGTCCGAGTTGGTGTACATAGCCAAAATCATAAGGTCCTGGAAGGAGTCCTCTTCCGAGTCGGAGGAGGGCTGGGAGGTGGCCGGACAGGTGTCCAGCGAAATGACCGGACTGGCGGCCTGCGAAATGGTCGGATTTGAGGGCACGGACATGCCCATGAAAGAGTGTGGTGTCTGCCATGCCCCTATCTCGTCGTCGAAATTCCCGATGCTGATGCTATCGTTTTCATCCCCGCTCTGCCCTGGGTTCTCCACAACGTCCTCGGGGGATTCTTGGTCCTTGAAATCAAATTCTGTGAGCTTGCGCAGCCTGTCCACTTCGCAAAGGATCACCTCCTGCTTGCTCACGATGCTTTTCACGAACGCCTCCAGACTCGAAATGGTCGCCTCGTATTGTAGCAGCTTAGTGCGCAGCATACTATTCTCGGCACAGCAAGTGCACCGATTTAGCTCATCGAACATGGCGACCTTCCTGTCGTCCGACTCCGTGCATTTGTTTCTGGGGCAGAGGAGAGTCAGTGAAGCTGCAGCCCTTAGGTGGCAGCGGAAGCGGAGCACTTACATGGTATTTATATCGGAATGCCTCTCATGGGACAGGCAAGAGTTCGACATCTTGAGACTATAAATTTACACCAGTTGTCTCTGTTGATTATTGTTTAGAAGTGCCTAGAAATAGCCCCCAAGTCGGTTTGACAGTTTGACAGCTTATAACCGGGGTGCTAGGGTCGAGATATAAGCACTAGATCGACCTTCGCACTCAATCGGAACATAAATGTCTGGCATCCGAAAGGAAATCGCACGATTGCCTGTATTTTCGGTTCCGATCTCCAATAGAATGATAACCCATAATAGACTTTTTCTGCAATTAAGAACAAAGAGTCGCAGGCCCCTTAGAAGCCATAAAAGTCAACGAACCAATTTTAATAACTTGAGTAGTGCATACATATAAAGATTATCTTGCCGCAGAACCAAACCCAAAGCAACTGATATTGAGTCAGTTCTGTACAGGTGTCAATCAACAATTAACACACGATCTTAAGAGGTTCCCCAAAATATGCGTATCGCAAGGTATCGCCAATGTTGATAATTCTGCCAGCGAAGCAGATTAAACAGGTCGGCTGCCTCGACAATGAAGTACTCTACCCCGTTAATGGGGTATTGGACTATTGTGGTACTGTAATTATTAGAGAGAGATTTTTAAATAGTCTCTGCTTAATATGTATTTTACAATACATTCAGAAATCCCAATCTATCCATCAAGTAACCTAAGCCACCTAAGTCTGACATAATTTTAATAATGTAGTTTCAGGATTGAAATATTTTATATATGAACAAGTTTCACGCGTTATCTAAAGCAGTTTCTAAAGTGGGCACGGCACAAATTCCGAATTTTGAAAAAAAACAACAAAACACTCTTATCGGCAAGAGTCGAAACGAGTATCCAGGGGCGGATTGACCCTAAGGCAAAATAGTCAATTGCCTGGGGCCCCCTATTAAAAAGGGTGCCTGCAAACAGGAAAATGTTTAAAGGCATATAACTTTTGTTCAGTTGGAAGGACTTAAAAGTTTGTTACTGAAAGCTGTGCTTTAGAAATCCAACATTGTAGAGGACAATACTACGACAACGCATCAAGCATGTCTGGAAAGTAGAAGCAAGAATTTTGAGCTTGAATGAAAATGCCATCTATGTTCCCAGCTCACTTAATTTGGTCGGAAATCATGGTGTGAGGTGCTCTTTTGATGTAGTAGATTTTTTCAATAATGCAGAAATTTTCTTAAATTTTTAAAATAAAATTGAAATGAGAAAACGTTGAAATCATTTTCAAAAACACTCTGCAAAGCGCATTTGAATTCGACGAACATGGTTTACGATTTATTTGATATCATATTAGAGACTCTAGAAAACATTGCTGATGACGAATCACAAAATACACTCTTTTAGAGGCGATTTTCATCGCGAATAAAATTCCAAAATTCGAATATGGTCTCATGTTCGATTATTTCGAGGAAAAAACTAAACAATTATTTCCGAATCGATACAGAAATCGTAACACGTACTAGTTATAGTAGAGTTCGACATCTTGAGACTATAAATTTACACCAGTTGTCTCTGTTGATGATTGTTTAGAAGTGCCTAGAAATAGCCCCCAAGTCGGTTTGACAGTTTGACAGCTTATGACCGGGGTGCTAGGGTCGAGATATAAGCACTAGATCGAAGGAGGATGGGACTCGCACTCGTCCGTGCTCTCAGCAAAGCATGAGGATCGGAAGAAAATGCACTACACTGAGGCCACAATCCGCGAGAGCATGCGCATCGAGACACTGGTGCCCTCCGATGTGCCGCACAAGGCCCTGGCCGATACTGAGCTCCTGGGCTATCACATACCCAAGGTAAGTGGCGCAGATCCCTTAACGATAATGCATTGACCATTGCTCTCCCTCTCTCTACGAAGGATACCATTGTGGTGCCCAGTCTCTATGCCTATCACTCGGATGCGCGAGTCTGGTCGGATCCGGAGCAGTTCCGTCCCGAGCGCTTCCTGGACGTTTGGGGCGGGAAAGCGGCTCTGCGCGGGCGAGACCTTCGCACGGAACATGCTCTTCCTCATGACGGCGCCCATGTGCCAGAACTTCAACTATGTCCTGGCGCCCGATCTGTCCGAGAACCAGAATGGGCTAATAATCACTCCGCCCGATTTCTGGGTGCAGCTGGAGAACCGAAGATGTGGGTGATAGAGAATAGGTTTAAGACAACCAAGACTAAGTATTTTATAACGAACAATCCGTGTACATGTGGTTTGATTTGTGGTTTGATTTGTGGTAAATATATGTAGGTGAAGAGCACTCTTTAGTTGGCATCGCTCTCAGTGTCCGAGTTGGTGTACATAGCCAAAATCATAAGGTCCTGGAAGGAGTCCTCTTCCGAGTCGGAGGAGGGCTGGGAGGTGGCCGGACAGGTGTCCAGCGAAATGACCGGACTGGCGGCCTGCGAAATGGTCGGATTTGAGGGCACGGACATGCCCATGACAGAGTGTGGTGTCTGCCATGCCCCGATCTCGTCGTCGAAATTCCCGATGCTGATGCTATCGTTTTCATCCCCGCTCTGCCCTGGGTTCTCCACAACGTCCTCGGGGGATTCTTGGTCCTTGAAATCAAATTCTGTGAGCTTGCGCAGCCTGTCCACTTCGCAAAGGATCACCTCCTGCTTGCTCACGATGCTTTTCACGAACGCCTCCAGACTCGCAATGGTCGCCTCGTATTGTAGGAGCTTAGTGCGCAGCATACTATTCTCGGCACAGCAAGTGCACCGATTTAGCTCATCGAACATGGCGACCTTCCTGTCGTCCGACTCCGTGCATTTGTTTCTGGGGCAGAGGAGAGTCAGTGAAGCTGCAGCCCTTAGGTGGCAGCGGAAGCGGAGCACTTACATGGTATTTATATCGGAATGCCTCTCATGGGACAGGCAAGAGTTCGACATCTTGAGACTATAAATTTACACCAGTTGTCTCTGTTGATTATTGTTTAGAAGTGCCTAGAAATAGCCCCCAAGTCGGTTTGACAGTTTGACAGCTTATAACCGGGGTGCTAGGGTCGAGATATAAGCACTAGATCGACCTTCGCACTCAATCGGAACATACATGTCTGGCATCCGAAAGGGAATCGCACGATTGCCTGTATTTTCGGTTCCGATCTCCAATAGAATGATAACCCATAATAGACTTTTTCTGCAATTAAGAACAAAGAGTCGCAGGCCCCTTAGAAGCCATAAAAGTCAACGAACCAATTTTAATAACTTGAGTAGTGCATACATATAAAGATTATCTTGCCGCAGAACCAAACCCAAAGCAACTGATATTGAGTCAGTTCTGTACAGGTGTCAATCAACAATTAACACACGATCTTAAGAGGTTCCCCAAAATATGCGTATCGCAAGGTATCGCCAATGTTGATAATTCTGCCAGCGAAGCAGATTAAACAGGTCGGCTGCCTCGACAATGAAGTACTCTACCCCGTTAATGGGGTATTGGACTATTGTGGTACTGTAATTATTAGAGAGAGATTTTTAAATAGTCTCTGCTTAATATGTATTTTACAATACATTCAGAAATCCCAATCTATCCATCAAGTAACCTAAGCCACCTAAGTCTGACATAATTTTAATAATGTAGTTTCAGGATTGAAATATTTTATATATGAACAAGTTTCACGCGTTATCTAAAGCAGTTTCTAAAGTGGGCACGGCACAAATTCCGAATTTTGAAAAAAAACAACAAAACACTCTTATCGGCAAGAGTCGAAACGAGTATCCAGGGGCGGATTGACCCTAAGGCAAAATAGTCAATTGCCTGGGGCCCCCTATTAAAAAGGGTGCCTGCAAACAGGAAAATGTTTAAAGGCATATAACTTTTGTTCAGTTGGAAGGACTTAAAAGTTTGTTACTGAAAGCTGTGCTTTAGAAATCCAACATTGTAGAGGACAATACTACGACAACGCATCAAGCATGTCTGGAAAGTAGAAGCAAGAATTTTGAGCTTGAATGAAAATGCCATCTATGTTCCCAGCTCACTTAATTTGGTCGGAAATCATGGTGTGAGGTGCTCTTTTGATGTAGTAGATTTTTTCAATAATGCAGAAATTTTCTTAAATTTTTAAAATAAAATTGAAATGAGAAAACGTTGAAATCATTTTCAAAAACACTCTGCAAAGCGCATTTGAATTCGACGAACATGGTTTACGATTTATTTGATATCATATTAGAGACTCTAGAAAACATTGCTGATGACGAATCACAAAATACACTCTTTTAGAGGCGATTTTCATCGCGAATAAAATTCCAAAATTCGAATATGGTCTCATGTTCGATTATTTCGAGGAAAAAACTAAACAATTATTTCCGAATCGATACAGAAATCGTAACACGTACTAGTTATAGAAAAAAAAACAACCTAACGACGAAGTGCTAGAGTGAAATTTTTACATCACGATAATTTCAGGACAGATTTTCGATAATCGATCATTTTCCACCGAAATCAAACGCCTCATCGAAAGTGTATATAGAGTTTCGAAGAGATTTGCATATCTAATCAACTGTTCTTTAAGCGATGAAGACCTCCACAAAGCTACGTACAATAGATTAGTAAGTTTTTGTTCTAGAGATTTGGAGGAAGTTATCATCAAACTGAAACAGTTCCAACCGTAAACTCCAGATACACTGATGTACAAAAAAGACATAGTCATTTGTTCAAGATTCTAGTGAAAGATAAATTAGCAGATGTACTTTCAAATACGGAAGTAGCTCTTCGGATTACAAATTGTTGATCCGGCCCTGCGAGCATCAATGTGACTCGTCATGTAAGTGACCTGTATTTTGTTTACGCATTCGTGAGACCTAGCCTCGACCGGCTTCGGTTTTCTTTCGATTATGATTTATGGTCATTTAAAAAGTGAATATTGATTTTATGCATAATATTTAATATTTAATGACACTGCCAAAAAGTTACCTTTTCCAAACTCGATTTCAACACTTTGATCTGGATCCGTGTCAAACGTAGACAGACCCTTATTGGGTTTTGTAATCTGTCCAAGTAGTGGACTTTAGCCACATTCAAGGGCTACGTAGAACTTGGGCGGTAGAGGCCCCTAAAAGATTTATGTTCAAATGCTTTCAATATTATTTTTGAAACA